CAGGTCTATCAACATTGGCGTCCTTGCACAGCTGACATAGCGCAGAGGGAGCCTCGGGTCCTGAGACTGGAACCAGCATCGCGTCTGCAATCACCCAGAGCAGGACTGTTAGGGTTTAGGGTTTAGGCTTTAGAGTTTAGGGTTTAGGGTTTAGGGTTTGGGGTTTGGGGTTTGGGGTTTGGGGTTTAGGGTTGAGGGCACTTCACTTAAACACGACTGTTCAGCGGCTTGGGCAACCCACGGGATCAGGTTTCACAATGCTGTAGCGGATATTGCAAGTCTTCACGGAAACATCGTTTCGACAAGTGCGTGCGCGACGTCTGGGGGTTTACGCAAATACCGGACCCCCTAATATCGTCCCTTAAGTAGTCGCATCCCTTATAGTGAGGACCCCAATAAGGTACCCCTAATATCGTAAACCCCTTATCTCTTTTTTGTAGTATCCCTCAGCCACCCAGATCTCCACTCAAGGCCCAGCACCCTGACATCGTGAGCTTTACAAACCTGAAGCCCACATGCTTATCAAACCAGAACCCTAAAGCAACGAGGCGTTTGAGGCTTGAACGCTGCAACATCCAACGTTGCACGAACAAGCTCTGAAACTTGGGATGTTCCCCCTTATACTGACAGTCCTTAATAGTACCCCCTATGAAAGTCCCTGCGAAGGACTGTTAGTAGAAGGGAGAACATCCCAACCGGAAACTCCTGAAGATAATCGCCAGCAGAGAGGCAGGCTCAGTTGTTCTAGTTCTAGGCATGGGTTTCGGGTTTAGGGTTTAGGGTTTCGGGTTTAGGGTTTAGGGTTTAGGGCTTAGGGTTTAGGGTTTAGGGTTTAGGGTTTAGGGTTTAGGGTTTAGGGTTTAGGGTTTAGGGTTTAGGGTTTAGGGTTTAGGGCTTCAGGATTTGTTGTTTTCGCATTCTTAAGGGCGGGGTGTTCATGGGGGGTAGGTATCTTAGGGAAGCTTCGGGAGCCTTTGGAAGTGGTGGGGAGTATTCGGGAACCTTGGGTTGCATGCCCCCTTTGGACCCCCTCCCTTAAGAATCCTGTAAATTTGGGGGTTGACAGTTGCAGGGTTTGGGCAGGAATCGGGCTTTTCGATCGAAACTGGTAAAGACAACGGGATTCGGGAATCTAGACGACGCGGGTCCGGCAAACCAAAAACAAATTCGGGAAACTGGAAAACGCGGGAGCATGAAGGTGACATGTACGTCATCAACCCCCTCCCCACACCCCAACCGCCCACTCCACCCCACTCCCAGCTAATTTCTTGAACAGGGCAGCTTCTTCCTGAATCGCACGGTTTTCTGAATTAGATAGTTTCCTGAATCGCGTGCGGTTTCCTGGATCGAGTGAAACCAGCTTCCTGAATCGCGTAGTTTCATGAAACGCGGCTTCCTGAACCGTGCGAAGCCGGTTGCCGGAGTTTCCTGAATCCTGATTTTCTGAATCGTGTCCGATATCCGAACAATCTGAAAACCCTTGTTCTAATCGCTCTTCATGCAACTCAGTGCCTGCTTGGGTAACCCTGCAACCACCTGCATGCAGCCTTCGGCTTGCGTAGCAGTGGATGTTGATGTTGACCCCATGCTCTTGCGAACAAGACTGCGCATGTAAATCAACAACTCCTGCAGTTGGGCAGGCTTCTGGTCTGGTCTCACGCAGCTTTCCAGCACTAACATGGCTGGCCGCCGCAAACGCTTTGAAGAATAATTCTCGGACCTCGCACGGCAGACAGGACCAGTCGCAGAGCAAAGGCTCTTGGGACGAGTTCCACATTCGAAGCCAAGAATTGTAGAGTCAACACGAAATGGGCATTTCCCAAAATAGGGGTACCACTTTTATACCCCAAATAGACCTCCCCCCCCCCAAGAAGGGTACCCCCTACTTTCAGACACCCCCAAAGCGCCTTCACCCGTTGAACTCTCTGAATGCCTTCCGCGATGTCGGAAGAAAAAGCGCAAAGGTTGTCTCTCCGCTCGACCGCAGCCTCCATCACCGCCCGAAGCTCTAACGGCTAGTTGCTTTCAAAGCCCACAAAAAATGACGATAGCTCTCCCTTATAAGGGATGATCATCCTTTTATGTTTCCCTAAACCCTAAACCCTCAACCCAAACCCTAAACCCTAAACCCTAAACCCTAACCCTAAACCCTAAACCCTAAACCCAGAACCCTAAACGGGCGTTTATGCAAATAGCAACGAATCAGGGATGAGCCCGCAGTTACTTTGGGGGATTAAGCAACGTAGGATTTAAGGCAGCAGAGCTTCATCATGGTCGCCATTCTCAAGCGCCTGGCACTCTGTCAACTGAGATCTCATGTACAACTTAGGGGGCTTAGGGTTTAGGGTTGAGGGTTTAGGGTTTAGAGTGGGATTCTCAACATCATCCAACTCTGTACTGACAAAGGCGATATCAGGATGCACCACCTCCAAGCTGCACAGACAGCCTTTAGTTGTGGAGCTAGGTGGAGCCCAAAAACTCAACCCTAAACCCTTAACCCTAAACCCTAAACCCTCAACCCTAAACCCTCAGCCAACCCCGAAACTTCGTTCCCCGGAGGCGCACGAGCATCAAGACTCAGCTTGCACCCTGCGGTTGATGCGTTGCAGCTGCTTGCACAGAATATAGGGTTTAGGGTTTAGGGTTTGCGGTTTAGGGTTTAGGGTTTAGGGTTAGGGTTTAGGGTTTAGGGTTTAGGGTTTAGGGTTTAGGGTTTAGGGTTTAGGGTTTAGGGTTTAGGGTTTAGGGTTTAGGGTTCAGGGTTCAGGGTTCAGGGTTCAGGGTTCAGGGTTCAGGGTTTAGGGTTTAGGGTTTAGGGTTTAGGGTTTAGGGTTTAGGGTTTAGGGTTTGGGGTTCAGGGTTTAGGGTTTAGGGTTTAGGGTTTAGGGCTCAGGGTTTAGGGTTTAGGGGTCGGAATAATTGCTAAGAGTATTCCCTCATGATTCCTGATGATCATACTCTAATCACCTCACAAAACCCTGTTCCAAGTATTAAGGCCCCCATACTACCTTGAGCACGAAGCCCAAGCCCTGCACTCTGAACCCTCAACCCTACAACACCCCAATCTCTGAGTAAACCCTACAGGTCCCTAGGGTAAGCCCCAAGATCAGGAAGCCATGGTGAACCAGAAACCCTAAACCCTGAACCCTAAACCCTAAACCCCAAACCCCTAAGCCTCAAAGATCAGCTATTATAAGGCCTAAACCCTAATGGAACCCGAACTGCAAACTGCACAGTTGAAAAATAGGGCGGCTTCAACTCAGCCTATGTCACCCATGTCCTAAATAAACCTCAAAGTGAAAGAGTCAGGCTGGCTGGGGGATGGCGAGCAGAACTAAGGGCGGCTGATACGATGCGCGAAGATACAATGATTGCAAACCTGCGATGGCCTTAGGGCATCGAAATGTCTAGTTCACCTCGCACCCTGTAGCTCTTGCGCCTAAGACAAAGAACGAACTCGACCAGACAAAAAAGCCACCCGAAACTTCAGCGGCAACCTGCAGCTAGGCCTCTCCCTTGCACGAAGAGATCTGGGAGACTATGTATACAAGTGATATACAAGCATGTCATAAAGAGAGGACTATATGATATAATCGACTACATCAATCATCGACCGTATACCTGGAACGCCAAAGTGGCAAAAAACAGATAACTTTCAAAAAAGAGCGCCTTCAGGACAGTGGCGTACAATAACGCAACTGAGCCAAAAAACCAGCAACTTAGCTAAAGTGGCAAGTTTACATATACATAATATTTGTGAAAGGCTCGATTTCGACGACAATGGGACAGTGGCAGTGGTAGTGGTAGTAGTGGTAGTAGTACCAGCACCTTCGCACCCGCGATCCCCAGTTTCCTCGCCGCTCGGCAGGTCCCGGCCGAGGCGGGCCGCGAAGCGATAAAAAAAAACCCAGAGATGTTGGTCCGTCAATGAACGGTCTCACGACAATAGCCTGCAAACTGCACTAGGCGCCACAACACATCACTTTGCACCGGTTGAATTCAGTGGCTGATGGACGTTTTCCCAACAGAGAGGGGCCTCTGGGGGATTCAGTCACAGCGAGGGGGCCCTCTTTGCTTCGTGGCGATATCAATCAAGCACGCGCGCCAAAAGGCGTGGTTTAGGGGGCCCCCCCAGGACATGGCCTGCCCTCTGGCAAAAAAAGGGCCCTATCATGACATGACCGATGCGAGTTGTAAGTTCGCCATGCTTCGTCTGCTACTTGTCCCAGTCCAGACCAAGCAACTCGCCTCCGTACCTGTCGACAACCCGTTTGGGAAGCTCTCTTGAAAAATCAAGAATCGAGCGACTCCTTGTCAGCTTTATGCCTGCGACATCGCAGTCTTTAGGGTTTAGGGTTTAGGGTTTAGGGTTTAGAGTTTAGGGTTTAGGGTTTAGGGTTTAGGGTTTAGGGTTTAGGGTTTAGGGTTTAGGGTTTAGGGTTTAGGGTCTCTGACTGCGAAAAACATCCAACCTACATCGCAGCTCAAACCCAAGCCTCACTGCCAGGGCGAGCTAGCGAGGGCAACATAGCCCAAGCCAAGAAAGAGTTTTGGACTGAAGGCTTTCATGCCGGGGCCCTGGCAGCCGTGGTAAACTGTAAACGTTTAGGGTTGCAGCCGGGTTTTTTCGGGTCTAAGGGGCCATAAAACCGGAGGTTAAAGAGGCTGAGTGAGGGCCGCAAACAAAGCAAGGTCGATGCTCTGGCCAGCATCGAGAGCATCTCGAGCCAGCCCTTAGGGTCTCAGGGAAGTTTCCCAACATGCCTACATCATCATAAGGTCTTAAGGGTTTAGGGTTTAGGGTTTCGGGTAGCCCTAGCTTCTTGGCCTGGTAGCCACTCCTAGTGGTGGCAGTGGCTAGGACGTCAGGGAGCCATGCGGCAGAACTGGCTGGGCGACTAGGAGCTGAACTGCCCGAACCCTAATCCCTAAACCCGAAACCCGAGACCCTAAACCCTAAGCCCTAAACATCCCGAACCTCTTTCCTGGCTGGGCCTCACTCACTCGGCAGACGTTTGCCCTGCATAGCGCCTTGCTCCCAAGGCTCGCGGCATTTCGATAGGGTTTAGGGTTTAGGGTTTAGGGTTTAGGGTTTAGGGTTTAGGGTTTAGGGTTTAGGGTTTAGGGTTTAGGGTTTAGGGTTTAGGGTTTAGGGTTT